CTTTGGTGTGAGGGTGCAGAGCCTGGAGCAGCTGCCCAGAGAGGCTGTGGAGTCTCCTGCTCTGGAGAGATCCCAAACCCTCCTGGGTGTGACCCTGGGCACCCTGCTGTGGGTGAGCTGCTGGAGCAGGGGGTTGGATGAGATGATCTCCAGAGGTCCCTGCTGAGGGATTCTCTAATTTACTCAAAGGCAGTTTCACAAATGAAGGCAATGTTACATCACCCTTTGAGGAGCCTTTGTGGGGACAAAGGGGCTTTGTCTTCTCAAACAGGCTTTCCAAACACTGTTTCCCACTGCAGCCAGATGGGAAGGTGCTGGTGGATCCCTCCCTGACTTCTCCTGTGCTGCTGAAGCAAAGTGAAAACCACCCTCGTACTCTAACAACAACAGCCCTCACCGGAGCTGAATTTTACCCAGTCAAGCAAAACTTGCATAGACACTGTAAATTGTTCCTCCCTGTCAGCCCCTCAAGGCACAAACCACTAATGAGTTCAGAGGAATGTGCTAAAAATGGCAAGAAGAGTTGGCACTGCCTGACCCAAAGCCAGGTGGGTCCAGTATCAACAGCAAGCCAGTTCCCGGTGGAACGGGTCTGGGTTGGCTTGCAGACAGCATCTTAATAGACCCTGGGGTCTGGTGGAACCTAATTGAGAGCAGGCAATCTAGGAAAAAAGCATCTCCACGGCTGGGTTTTTACTGCTGCTCCCATAAACACACTGAGCTGTAAAGCTCCCCCAGGGGAATCTCAGAGCCAGGTCAGACTAGGGCTGCGCACAGAAAGGAGCGCTGGGACAAGCTGGAACGCTGCCTGTGGAGCCCACCAGAGCCAAGAGCATCACCCCCAAGGACAAGCAAAGCTACCACTGCTGCTCTGAGAGCTGGGTCAGACAGAGCAGGGACCAGTCTTGGGAACAGCCAGCCCCAAACAAGCCCAGGGAGGAAGGCAGCCCCCAGGGCACCTGAGCTGAATGACTCCAGAGCTGCAGCGGCTGCTAAGGAGGCTCCAGGGAGATGTTAGATATTCCCTTTCAGTTGGGCCCTGCCCTTTTCCAGCAGTAGCCAGTTCTGCACAGCCCCCCATCCCAATGTGAGATACCTTCCTTCAGGTTTGTAGTGGATCTGCTCTTGGTGCCTGTAACTTTTAGAAGCTAATCCTGGTCGTACTTTCTTGAGGAAAACACAAGCATGATAGCACATGGATGAATCCAAGGTGCTGTGTCTCCTCACTGGGAAAAACTGTCTGGTTGAAAGGTTTCTTTCCCCCCTCAGACAGTGCCCTACCCCTTTCCAGCTTCCCACTAGGTGAAACATTCCACTGAAATCCCAGTCTGAGGGCAGGGATGGCACGAGGAGCTGTCAGCACTGCTCTGTTTCTCCAAGACATCCCCTGTGAAGCCCAGGGCACACACCCCGGGGCTGCTGCAGGGAAGCACGGAGCTCTGCCAGCTCCCACAACAATCTGGCCATATCCAGCTTGCTTGATTTACTTCCACTGAAGCTTGGCCCCTAAAGGCCTTGGCTGATTGACATCTGCTTGATAAGCGTGGCAGCAGCTCTTCACAGCCAATGGATGCTGGCACCGTGCCCGGAGACAGAAGCTGCTGGCAGCATGGACACAGAGCTCAGAATGCAGCAGGAAGGCTGCTGAGGACCTCGGGGTGTTGAGAGCAGCCTCTCCACGGGTCCCTCACTTGCTTACCCTGAGGTACAGCTTCATTAGGTGGTTGGCATCCACTCGCATCCTACACTCGTCTCAATTTGCACACCGAAGAAGGAAGAGGCCAGAGGTGTTGCTGAGAGAGAAAGGAAGAGGGATCTTTTCTGGTGCTTTTCTCACACCTTTGAGGTGTGAAACATCTTGAAACAAACCCAGAATTTCTTGCAGCAGATGTCCTTGTGCTGTGGTTCCCTGCTGGAGCTGGGCCATTGCCACTCCAGTGACAGCTGCTGTGGACAAACACCTTCAGAAGGGAATCTTCTGCTGGCTCCAGTCCCAACCCTCCACCACAGCAAGTGAGAGATTCATTTCAGCAGGCTCTGTTCTTTGAACCTTATTCTAAGTGTGAAGAGGTCTCCAGATCAGCCTCACAACAGGGAGAGAGAAAACACCAGAGTGACACAAGCAGGAAGGAAGAAAACTTTAAGAACACAGGACAGAATCTTGTACCTCACTGCTGGCAGCCAGAAACAGCTGCTGCCGTTGCTCCTTTCATTGAGGGCTTGTAATAGTTTGATGTTAGCATTCCCATCATCCTGTCTGAACAAAAGGAACTAGTATTATCTGGGTTTGTAGTTCAAAAGGACTCTGAGCACATCCCTTCCCCTCTCAGGAGCACAGCTCACCCTTTACAAAGAGGCTGTACCACACATGGATTTTGTTCTCCTAGCAGCAGTCCTGTGTGACAGACTTGACCAAAATAAAATAAGACTAAAAATAAGGCTTGAAAACAAAAGGTAGTGAGAAGGCAGCTAGGGCCAGGCTGCTATGCTGGCAGTTGGGAAGATGCAAAAGCAAGACAAAATCCATGTATAAAGTTGGCCATGCCACACAGATACTCTCTAGTAGAAGAAGGAGCTGCTGGGGGAGTCCATAAGTGTCTCAGCATTGTCCTGTCTTTTCTGCTAGTCATGAGCTCTTCAACACAGGACTGTTTTCTATGCTCAGCTATTCAAACTATGTATGGGCTTCACAGATTTCCCTGCAGGATTTATTTCCTTCTCCTAGATGCTTCAGAATGACTAAAACGTGTGTTAAATCACACAGCCCACACTGCAACTCCTGCTTTACTTCTGCAGTTTTGAGACATCCTGGTGGAAAGGGCCATGCTGCTGATTTTCCAAGGTGATCTCAATGTCTAAACCCCCCCAGCTGACAGCCCTCACTTCCCAGAGGGTGGTGGAACTCGCTGCCACCCTGCTCCAGCTGTGAAGGAGCTTTTCCCACAGGCTGTGTTTGAAAAGCTCCCGGGGATGCTGAAGAGGCTGAGTTGTCCCAGTGCTGCTGCCAAGGGCTTCAGCACCCTGGACAAGAAGAGCAGCTCCATTCTCCCACCTTGCACACCAAGGGTAGCTGAAGTTCAGGGCAGCCAGGCTCTGGTTTTTCCTCTTTGTGCTGCACACCCACAAGTGTCTGTGGATGGAAAGTAGGCAGCTCCTACCCTGCCAGCAAAGCAAACAGAAAATTTAAAGATCTCACTGATCACCACTAAATTCTGCTGCTAGATAGAAAGTACAGGAACATGGTTGGATTGCAAGAGTCTATAAACCTCAGTAGGAAGGGATTTTAATCTAAACATGAAGCTGGTTGCTCTAACCATAAATATATCACACAGCTTTCCTACGATAAAATGCAAGACAAACCACTTGCAACTGGTTTTGACCCCTCCTCCTTCAGGCAAGGAATTTGGCTGCTTTTACTCTGCAATAGAAATCACTTTGCTTATGATCTTGACACCCAAAGCAGCCCTGACACTGCCAAAGGCTCCAGCTAAGGGCCTGGGACCTGTGAGAGCCCCACGGGCTCTTCTAGCAGGCTTGGCTGCAAGGGAGGTGCCACTACACTGA